CATTGGCCCGAACTGTTGCAAACCTGCCTGACAACCGGGAGCCGCCTCCCCGGATTGGTCATCAAGGCCAAGTTGCTTCCTTTTTTTCTCATTGGAAAGAAAGAGTACAAACCGCCAGGGTTCGGCTTCCAGAATTGGCCGAGGGGGAAGGGCCCGCCCGAAAGTGGGTTGGGCTTAGAGGAGGCGGGGCCAAGGAGGAACCCCAGCTAGGTTCCCAGCGCCGCGCTCCCCCGTCGGACTGTGGCGGCCTCGCCATTCTTCGCGGTTCCTGTAGCACTGTTCTTTCCCTCTCTAAGAGGCGCGCAGGCTTCCCCGCTCTCCCACCCCCACCTACTTTCGAACTGGAGGAAAGACGCCCTACCTCGAAGGGCACCTTCCTTCACTGGGGTAAAGTGTCACTCATTGCAAGCACACAATTGGTGGAGAAAGCTCCCAGCGGGCCTCCAGGGCATTTGCCTGCCCAGACTGGAAAACCGGGAAAAAGTCGAGGAGCCTGGTTTGTAGCCACTTTAGGAAGTGAGTCCCACATTTACTGCAGGTGTCCTTCGATTGGGGAACCAGCTGAGAAGGAGGTGAAAAGCAGCCCTCCCCAAGCCAGTGCTCTAATGAATAAGACTCAGTTCCTGCCCTCAAGGAGTTCGAAGTCTGGTGAAGTCTACAAAGGTGGATTAGCAGATGATTAAGTACAATGCAATAAATTGTACAAACCTGTGGAATAGGTTTCAGAGAAGTTACTCAAGTAGCCCATGAGAAGAAAGAGAACAAGGCCCATCAAGAATAAGCCTCGCGACCAGGTGTGGTCGCCCAGGCTTGTAATCCCAGCACTCAGGAGATGGAGGCAGGAGGATCACCCAGAGTTTGAGGCCAGCCTGAACTACAAAGTGAAACCCTTCTCAAAAAACCAAAAGAATAAGCCTGGGGGGCTGGGGATGTAGCTCAGCGTGCAGAGCCTGACTGGCAATCCGAAGGCCCTGAGTTAGATTGCTGGTAACCAAAAAAAGAATAAGCCTGGAAACCCAGGCATGGTGTCCCACACCTTTAATACCAACACGGGAGGCTGAGGCAGGAGGACTGCCATGAGTTTGAGCCCAGCCAGGGCTACAAAGTGAATTTGAGGCCAGCCTGAACTACATAGCGAGACTGTCTCAATAAGAAAAAAAAAAATCTTGGGAGTGGGAGTATAACTCAGTGGTAGGTGCCTGGCACTACAAAATAAATCAATATAAACCTTGGTTTTGCCCAAGGAGAGCAATGTTTAAATACAACGGTCATGGGGATAGAGAGAAGAGGAGAGGATTGGGAAATAAGTAGAATCAATAGGATTTGGAGTTTCATTGGCATATGTGGAGATGGTAACAGGACAAATTCCAGAAATGATAAAGATGTAGGAGGGAAACAGGTGTCATAATGGCAAAGAAAACAGGTAGGCCAGAGGAAAATGAAAATGAAATTGAATCAGAGTGTGGTGGTTTATGCCTGTAATCCCAGCACTTAGGAGGCTGAGGCAAGAGGATCACCCAGCGTTTGAGGCCAGCCTAGTGTCACATAGTTTAAGGCCAACCCAGACTACTTAGTGAGATCCTGTCTCAAGAAAAAAAACTGTTGAAATTGAACAGCAAAATCTCAATTCTGCAATGAGGATGTTACGAATGATCTTTGCCAAGGATGTTTCAGGGCAGTAGAAAGTAGTTTATAGCAGGTTGGAGAGTGAGCAAGTGGTTAGGAAGAGAAGAGAGCAAATGTAAGATCCTGGCCATCTCACAGGAATTGTATTTGGCTTTTTTAACTAATGATAGCTGCAAGGTAACAGAATGAACTAGATGTCAACCATTCTTCACTGAAGGAAAGCCTGGGAAGAAAGGATGTTTATTTATGGGTGGCATTTGTGTCTGTGTGAGTGTGGTCCAGGCAGGATACCAGATGTATTTACCTATTTGAAGGGCTATATGGAGCACCACAGACCTGAGGCCCAAGCTTGCCTGCTGCTGGATAAAGCAGGCATATTCTCTAGGCCCATCCTATCTGCCTAGTCCTTGGTCACTCAGGGATGCAGGGAACAGAGCCACATAGAGTAGGATGACCAAATGAGAATTTTCATCAATGTGAACCCAGGTCACTGGTACCTTGCATGCTGTTTTTAAAAGACAGGAGCCAGGCATGGTGGTGCATCCCTGAGGTTCTAGCACTTGGGAGGCTGAGACAGGAGGATTGCCACCAGTTGGTGGCCTGTCTAGACTACATAGCAAGAGCTTGTCTCAAAAAAGCAAGAATGGAAAATTTCAGGTTATGACCTCAGCTACTTCCAAGAACTAAGACATCGAAATAGTTGCTGGTCTCTCTGGGGGTAAGTATAACATGTAAAGCTAATATTCAGTTTTCAGGGATTTGATTTTCAGATATTTAAGAATGCATTCTTTTTTTTGTTTTGTTTTTTTGTTTTTCAGCTTTAATTGAGTTTATTGGTACATTTTAGGGATACAGTAGTTACACTTATTGTTGGGATCTTGTACCTCTACATGACAAGTCTTGATTCTCATTTTTTCTCCTTACCTCTGCCCTCCCTTCACCCAAGAATGTATTCTATACAAAATAGATTAACACAAGGTGCTCAGCTGTGGAGAGGATAAAGCAGGGTCGGCAAAGAGAAGATTGTCCCCACCCAATCCGTTGATTATAAACAAAATACAGTTGGAAATGTGGCCCACCACTGGCTGAGTTAGAAGTGAAAACAAGGATGGATCTAACAGCACTGGCTGGAGGCTTAGAACTCAGGACAGAAGCCTTGAATCTCTCTGCCTGTCCCGCAGCGGGTCTTCCTCCAAGATACCAGATTGATAGGGGAGAGCAACCGGGTTGGAGAGAAGAGGAAAGCAGTTTTATGGCACTAGGACAGGACAAGAAAAAAGCGCTGGGACATGGGTTTTGTATTGGATGTGTCGGGACAGGTGGGGCAGCACCACAGCACTCCAGGGCTAGTGAATCACGTGGTAATTCAGCCAGCAGTCACTATATACTCATATGCTTGTCTGAGACAATTTTATAATCTTACCACTCCCTCTACAACGTTCCTGGCAACCCTCAAACCTTAGTGCCTACAGCTGCGTGACTGTACGAGTTCTTCGGAGAAGTGGACCCCTTCCTTCGATAGCTCCCAGGCCTGGGCCGAGCCAGTCGGGGCACACGGGTTTAGAGACTGGTCAATAAATTGTTGATACGCTGTGTGGGGCGTGATGATCAAGAGACTGCCACAAAGTTGGAACGCAAACCCTTGCAAGGGCGCATGCGTATAGGCCAGGCAACCGCAGTGCCGGCCAGGCACTGTCCTGATTTCTTCGGGTGGGCGCAGCGCAATCAGCGCCCCTCCCACTTTCCCGCGCGCAGCTGCCGGAAGCGGAAACAACTCTCCCGGACGGGCTTCCTGTTCGCTGTCTCCGGAAGCTGCGGTCTGCTGGTTGGTTTCCAGTCACCATGGCGCTGGCTGTTTTGAGAGTCTTGGAGCCCTTCCCAACCGAGACACCCCCTCTGGCTGTGCTGTTGCCGCCCGGGGGCCCATGGCCTGCGGCGGGGCTGGGCCTGGTGCTGGCGCTG